GAACCTAAGGACTCTACCCCAGACAGCCTTAGTGCTTCTTGCATGACAAAATTGTGTCTGTCCATCCTGACACTGAATGATGCAAACATTCTTCATGAAAAGACTAGATTTTAAAAGACTGAATGTGTGCTTTAACTTGTATTTCTTTCAGTATAAAATCTTTGTGTTAAAACATCTTCTACAATTGGTTATTCATCTTCTAAGTGAAACCAGCCTGTTATGGCTCATATCTAGATGTCCCCCCAAAGCCTCATGAGCTCATAGGTGGGACTTTTAGGAAGTGGCTGGATTATGGATGTGTGAATATAGATTAGTCTACTGATTGGTTTAAAGTTGTTCTGGGTGAAGATCTACACTGGGTTGAGTGGCACCAACCAATAGGCTGTAGCCTGGAAGGATATAAAGCAAAAGATGGCAGGCAGGCTTCACTGTTTCCTGCCTACCCTTCCACGGTCTGTTTCTCCTTTGCAATACTCCTCTACCACTCTGTCCTGACTTGCAGTTAACTGACTATGGTCTAAAACCTCTGCATATCGTGAAATGCAAAAAACTCTTCCTCCTTTAACTTGTGGGTGTCAGGTATTTTGTCCCAACAATGAGGAAGTAACTAAGTTAAAGCTGTATATAGTTGGAAAGATTTTGAAGAAGTTCTTGTACTATGAATTTGACCTAGTTTATTTGGGACTTGAAGAAAATTGAAGCTGTAGCTCTGTCAAATGGCAACAGCCCCCCTAGAGTTGTTACTTCTTTTAGTATAATATCCTGCAAAGAAATACTGTTCGGAGCCACTGTAGCCATCTTGTGACTATGAGGGAGAGGCCAAAAGAATTACAGAGAAGGAGACCTAGAACTCTGACATTGTTGAGCAACTGAAATAGCACTGGAATTCTCTATACTCAGATGAACTGCATTGGCAAATACAACCTTAGGGTTGTAATAATTTGATTAGATATTTTGTTACACTCTAAATCGATTTAACAAGGGGCAGGGATTTAGCTCAGTGGTTCAACCGGCCTTGCAAGCTAAAGGACTGGAGTTTGATCCCCGGTACTAAATCCACTTACCAAGTGTGTGTAGGACCCGTGATTCAGACCTTCGGGATCTGGTATTCCTTGGCCCAAGTATCTCCTGTAGCAGAGAGCTTCAAGAGTACTGATTGTTTCTTGTTTTAGTGTCTTTATGAAATTTTTCTTGGGAGGGATTCTGCACCTTTAATGAGATATCCAAAGCTTCAGAAGAGAAGAGAAAACAGAGGAGAGGAGAGGAGAAAAAACTTCAGTCTAGAAAGTCTGCCTGGGATGTGTTCTGAGAACGAATGACAGCAGCTTGTAACCCACTGGAAAGGAAATGTGGATGTTGGAGGTGATTCAGGACAGTGCTAACAGTGGAGTTTTTAGAGTCTGGCATCAACTCTCCGAGCCTTTGGGTTTCAATGTTAAAAAATGGGATCGCAAAGATCCCTCTTACAGGCTTGCCGTGGTGTATATAAAACCTGTTCCACAGAAAATTCTTGTATAGAGCATAATGAAGTAGCATAGTCATTAGCATCATTTCTGGAACATAATGTGGGCTCAAGAAATAATAACCAGCCTCCTTGAGAACCACCTGCAGGACTAATATGTCAATGCCCTTGAGAAGAATCAACCGAACCCCTGAGGCAGAGAGGGGGGAAGCAGAGAGAGATGGAGGAGAGTTGGAATTTCCCAGATGATCAGAGGAATAGCAGGTGTTGCTCTAATCCCACCCGTGGTACTTACTTCTCCTGTGACCTAGGCTGAAAGTCTCTCATATCCAAACCTCAGTTCCCTCAGCTGCAAACTGGGGGTGGAGATTTCTGCCTCTGAAGGATGTGGAGAAGGTGGGAATAAAACAGGTGTACATGAGAAGTCCCTGGCTGGGGAGGGGAAGGTGTTCCATGAATGAAAACTCTGACCCCATCCCTCGGCCTACCAGCTCCCACTCATCTCTGCTCTTAACCAGCAACCTGGATGTCAGTGCACAAGTTTAGGTGAATCATGGAATATTCCGGACCGGCACAGTTGAACAGGAGGGCTGAGGCCTGGGCAATGGTTACATTCCCCAGGCTGTTCTTTTCTGCCCTGGACTTACCCGCCCCACTCTGCCCCCATGGGCCCTTCCCCAATTCTGCTGTCCAGGCTGGCAGAAGGGAGGCCAGGTCAGGGCAGTCTTGGCAGTAGAGATGTGGTAGCTGTTGCACTGTGGGAGTTGTTCCTATTGTCATTATTTTGGAGGCTTTCGTGCTGCCCTCCAGAAAGCTTTAAGAGGATGTGGGAATGGGATAAAGTTAGGGGAATGCCATTCAACTCATCCATCATGTGCAAGCTAGAAAAAAGTTCCTCTTTTTTTGCAAACATCCACCATTCCTTCTCCCTGATTTATTTTTCTTTCACCACTAATGCCACAAGATGACCATCCCCATATCTATTTGTCTGGTGTCTCTTTCCTTTCAGATGGCAAACTGCATAAAGGCAGGAACTAGACGATGTTCACTAAGCCAACAATGCCTGGTTTGATGAAAATATATATTATGGCTTGTGTCTAGATGTCTCCCTCAAACCCTCATTTAGTAATAGGTGGGGCTTTTCAGAGGTAGGTGAATCTACAGAGGGTGATGCTGGGATAAAGGCGTGTGAACACTAAATTAGCCCACTGATTGGTCTGGCAGAGTTCTGGGTAGGATTAAGGGTGCCCCACACTGGCTGTGAGGGCTACCTGCCCTAAGGGCTTGTAACCTGGATGAAATATGAGTGACCGAAAGAGGGCGGCAGTCATCCTTTCTTGCTGTTTCACTACTTTGCTGTTTGCTACCCAGCTGCCTTCTACTTGCCATGAGCTATTGCTCCTCTTCAATGACCCTCTGCCATGTCACCCTGCCTTAGAGCCAGCCAATTATGGACTGAAACCTCTACAAATTGTGAGCTAACTAAACCTTTCCTCTTTTAACTTTGGGTGTTGGGCATTTTGTCTCAGCAATGAGAAAAGTAACTAAAATTACTTATGTAATTATGTAACCAAATTACCAAATAAAGGAAGGATTAAATATTTAAAGGAAAGTTTTGACAAAGCAAATAGTTTGAATTGATGTGACAAGATTTGAAATCTAAACTTTTGTTAGATTTCCACTTAGTGTTTATTATTTATGGAGATTAGCTTGGTTCTGAGTTTCTATACTGCTCTATTGCTGCACTTGTAGTCCTTGTGGTCATAATGGGATGACATACCTACAGCCTGCTCATCTCAGCCAGACAATGTGACTGGCGTTGGCCCATGTGAATGGCAGCAATCAGGTGTCTTCCTGTCAGGAAGGTTCAGAGCTGGTATGAAGTCCATTATGCTCCTTTTGCCCTTCTGCTGTGATCAGGGAATCATGCGTCAAGATGCAGCCTCTACCAGTGTGGGTCTATGAGTACCTGTGGTGGGTGGAGCCTGTTTTCAATGTACAGAGGACATGGGATGTGGGTGACAAATGATGCTGGTCGCTTTCAGCTGCTGGGGTTTGCAGCTGACGGCAGCGTGACTCACCTGTACTGATGGATCCAAGGCCTAATTCCATCCGTCCTTCTATATCCACTCCTACCTTGGAACCCAGACACAGGTGACATAGAGCCAGGGAAAGGAAGGCATTGCATTTGCAGAGTGTTTCCAAATGCCAGCCTGGTGTCCTTGTTATTCTAAATCCATTTTATTTCAACAGCCCATGGAATAAGCAGGACCTCCTCACTTCCATCTAGGGTGGGGGAAACTGAGTCTTGACAAAGGTTTAGCACTGCTGTGAGATCCCTCTTTTTCCTCTCCAAAGCTTTCATTGCTTCCCTACAGCAACTGCATCCTATGGAAATGTGTGCTAAGGTCATTCTGGGTGAGGTGCTTTTGGAGCTTAAAAAAATAATAACCTTTACTAATGACCTGGTAATTGTTTTTATAGCTTCCCAATGAAGTGTGAAATGTTCTAAGAGACAACACAAGACAATTTCCTTTGATGGTGAAGTTTTCCAAAGAATGATTGCTTCACTCTTCAGAGCTCTTGGTGCCCTGGCTTTGGTGTGATAGTGAACTGACTTCTGATCATCACCTTGGGGACTTCAAGAAAGCTACAGAGGTTGGGAAGAACATTGTCATTATTTTAAAGCATGAATCTTGTCTTTCTCTTTGAAAATGGTCACATAATTAACATATAACAAATAATAAATCTGTAGTATCTATCAAGCACTTTCTCTATTCTGCGTCCAGGCTCAGCACTTAAAGTTACTACTCTCTTCATCAAGGGTCCAGCCCAGCCCAGCATGTGGCAAAGGCTCATAAACATCTCTGTAATGAATGAATTAGCTAGACAACGTTCGCTGGATCTGCTGCTTTGAGTCCTGCTCAAATGCAATGAGATGCTTTCTGTGTGAAAAATCGGGGGAGGAAGGTTAGTGTTCAGACAACTTGATCATTTAATTCCTATCCCAAAAAGCTACTCTAAACCCCAAGAAGGGGAGAAAATTAATTCTAATTGAGAGCAGTAATAATTATGCTAGCTAAAGAGTTAGGTCATACTTATGGCACACTAGAGTTTCCTTCTTTTTGCTTTGGTATGAATAATTGGAGTTAATCTGAACAGAGCATTATGCTCCTTGTAGGGTGATGTCTTCTCTGGAGACCTTTGGGAGTTTACTTACAAAAGCCCTTCCCAAAGTTGTCACATTGATTCTCACATTTTGCCTGCCCAGTGGGCAGAGCAGATATGTCTATACTGATTTGCAGCTGAGAAAGTGTAAAGCCTTTCAGAAAGTGCCTAAAACCACACACTGTCCAGGTGCAGAGGGGACATAGACTTGGCATACCATCTCCCAGCCTGAAGTGTTTCCAAGGTGCCATTGTGTCTTTGTTCCTTATGACTCTGGAGGGAGATGAGGGGAGTAAGCAGGTGATTGGTTGTTGCTGTTGTTATGCTGTTTTTCATAGTGTGTGGTTAATCTCAGATTTAGTGAAAACTTACCGTTTGGCCAGGTCGGATTTTCCCTGAAGTAGAAAATACTGTACCTGTTATGGTGAGTTTTACATGTGAATTTGGTGAGGTTGTGGTGCCCAGCTTTTAGGTCCAACACCTAATCATGTAGCTAATTTCTTGAAACAAAATTTCTCTCTCTTTACATCCATATCCACATTGTTCACGATAGCATGCAAGCATGCATCCCATTGGTTCTGTCTCTCTGGAGAACCCTGGCTAATGTCAGACTTTACATTTTCCTGGTAGACAAGGATGAAGAAGGGTAAGGCAATGATGGTGACCCCCATGAGTGCCCATTCCCCGCCAGGTGCTACCCCCAAGCTCTCTCGGGCAATGCTCACATCTTTCTTTGTGCATGTGTGACAGGAGTATTATGGTGAGTATTATTCCACTGTACACATGAAATCAAAGTGAGTTGGTCCCCAAAGCAAGAAAGCTAAGTGACAGAGAATGGAGCTAGGTCTCTGGTCCTAAGCACTTGCAAAAATGCTTCTAGGATTTATCTGGTGTTACGGTTTAGATATAGGCTGTCCCCAGAGGCCTCACGTGTTCGTAGGTAGAGCTTTTGGAAGGCAATTGGATTATGGGGGATACCACAGCAGACTTGCTGTTTGATGCATCTGGCAATCCAGCTTCTGAACAACCTATGAATTCATCATGGCCCAAATTGCGCAGCTGACAGTATTTTTCAGATATCTTAACTTGGGGGAAACTAATGTCCATTGGCCAAACAATACTGGGGTAGACATAATACAATACCTTGAATCAAAAGAAAGAGGAAACCTTTCTAATTGTTGCTTTTCCAAATTTTATTTCACAACAACGCCATTATCTATCACCTGGGAACTCAAAAATTCAAGTTCTGTTCATGTGACAGGAGATAAAAGTCTATCTCTTTCAAGTTGGTTTGGGTTTAGAGATGTTAGGATGGAGGTGGTATGGGAGGAAAGGGGTGCTAAAGAATGTGAAGTCTGTGCTGTCCCTTTGTGAGTGGTGTGGCCCTTGGGACCAGGACCTGATGTCCCAAGAGACGGTAGAGTGGGGTTGAATGTTGCCACCCATCCCAGTGTCAACTTCCCACTATCAGTGCCATTTGCTTCACCTGTCACACATGCACAGCTATGTGAAGCCCCAGGAAAATCAGCCTTTCATCTTTCTCTGGGAAATTTGATGCAAGCTTTGGAAATTAAAAAAAAAAAAAAAAAAAAAGG